TATTTCAATTAATCCGAAAAGCCTTAACAAATTAAATTGTAACAAACTCTATTAATTTTAGTAAACATTATGTCATATTGATGTGACACATAATCTTCAAAATAAAAAAATATATTGTTGACTTACTAATATAAGCATTATCAGTAGGCCTCACATGTCAACTAATATAATCAGATTTTGGTAACAAATTTGATTGAATTATGATAACAAGTCTCGAATATTGGTAACAAATTTGATCTGATTTTGATAACAAATATCGGATTTGATAACAAATCTTTTAAAATAGCGGTTTTTTGGTAACACACTTCATAGTTATTTACACACAATATATTCTATATAATCTTTGAGATTTATTTTGATAACAAATTTCACATATTTTTTTCAGATTATTTAGAGTTAAATATTGCAGAAAAAATTTCGAGATTTGATAAATGTACATATCAAAATAAAAATATTATTTTTCAGTCAATCCAAAAAGTCTTACCAAATTAAATTGTAACAAATTTCATTAATTTGGTAAGCATTATGTCACATTGATATGACACATAATCTTCAAAATAAAAAATTAATTGTTAACTTACTAATAACATGGTCTTTCCTTTAGTAAGTACTTTGAATTTTAACTTAAATTTGTTTTTTAAAAGGGACGGAGATATTAAAATCCCGTGCATCGCACGGGTACTGTACTAGTATATATAAAGTAGGAGTTGGTTCTAATGATGACACATTCTTAAAACGAGTATGTAAGATTCAATCGTCGCCATTAGATGGGTATAAAAATGTATGGTTAAAATTTAACTCTTTTTAAATAATAATTTTTTGATTTCTTAATTTTAAGTATTTAAATATTATTTTGATCATTTGACTATTAATCGTTGACCGTTGACTTTTAGTGTTGACAAGTTCACTTCCGGCGTTGACAATTGACCTTAGTATGATTCTATATGAAGTAAATATGCATTCAACACTATGCACTTAATATGACCTAAATATGCATTGACTTTCGACGTTGACTCGTTGACCTTAGTATGTATCTTTTATGAAGCAAATATGCATTCAATATTATGCACTTAATATGAATTAAATATGCATTGGTATAAATTGCATATGCAATCCTTATAAACTACATATGCACCAGTAATATCAATTTAGTATGCACTTTATTAACTAAATATGCACGTGTTATAAACTAATATCATCATGAATGAACTAAATATACAACGAAAATATGCAATAAAACGTGCACTTTATAAAAATAATTTAACTATAATAATTATTAGTTTTTATTATATAATTAACTTAAATTTCAATTGATTAATATGAGTCATTGATTTACACAAATAAATAGTTATGATTGGATCTCATATGACCTAAATAGGCATTGTTGATGATCTAAATATACATTTTGTATGAACTAAATATGCATAATGAATGAACTAAATATGCATCATGTATACATTTAATTTAAATTAGTACGTAGCCCGTGCAATGCACGGGACATAAGTATTTGCTGAGTCATTTCTACAGAGCTTGTCCATTAAGTAGCTAATGCAATTCATTGGAGATATTAAATGAATGGACCATAGGACTTGTCCGTTCAGGCCTAAAAAATGATAGAGTTTGATCATTTATTTTTTTACCTCTTTTTATCAACTTCATTTTTTTGTCGGTACATTAAACATGAGTCTGGTAGCGCTAGCCGTAAATTAATTAATATATTATCTAGCTCACATGTTTATAATAATATAAATTTGACTTCATTGTATATATTTATTTCCTTGATATAAGAAAAATAATAGCTTTTTTACGTAATCTTGTTCCTCGTATAATACTCATATTGTTTTATTATAAAATTTATTGTAATATAATGTCATTATTATTATTTATACATGTTATATATGTAGTCTTCTTCTTCTTTTGTTTTATGTAATTAAAATACTTAATATATGTTATATTATTTATTAATGTAGTTAATGTAAATTATGTAAATAAATTTAAAGTAAAACATTTTGTACAAACATTTTACAAAATGTACACAAATGTTTTTTTAGAATTTATTTTTTTAGGCAAAATAGCTCGTTATATCACAATCTTTTACCATATTGCTAAAACATCACGACTTTTGAACCTTGGCGGAGAATATCACAACTTTTGAAATTCTATGCATTTTTTAAACATTTGAAACCAGTCAAAACATTTGAAATACTTTAAAATCATTTCACGAAAGTCCGAAAGTATATTTAAAATAACGAAAGCAATAAAGGTGGGGGGATGGATTTGTATAACTAAAAATAAGTAAATATAATAAAAATCAAATAAAATAAGAGAAGTCCAATTTTCGGTTCAATTATTACCCAATCTCACTTCACCGTTAATTAGTTTGGCAAAATTTCACTTTTGGTACATTATATTGGCCACTTTCCAGATATGGTCCATCAATTTGGCAGACATCAAACTTCATACATTAAATTGGAAAATTCATCACTTTTAGTCCATTAATCCGTCGGGATGGATAACGAGCCTACGTGGCGTGATTCTTAATTTCCAACTCATTACGCGGAAAAAAAAAAAAATCCATGTGGAAATCGAGCAATTACATGGACAACTAATTAAGTCTATTTATTGAAAACCAAAACTCATAAATCAAAATAAAAAAATCAGAAATTAAAATCGATTCCCAATTCCAAACCCTAGCGACGAAAAATTCGATCCCCTCTCTCATTCGTCGACCGTGAATCAATCTCCTCTCTGGCGAGCGACCGTGAACGAAGCTTGAATAAGAATGGCATCTTCTTCATTCACTTATCCGTTCGAAGTTCTTTGTGACTGTGGCATTAGGGCTCAGGTAAGAACTTCAAAAACATCAAAGAATCCTGGTAAAAGGTTTCTAGGGTGCAAAAATTGGAGGAATGGAGGCTGCAAATTTTTTATATGGGAAGGACACGATTCAGATAGTGGTTGTGAACAACATTATGCAAAACCGAATCAGGAGCAATCAATTTCGTTGATGGAAGAAAAACTAAAGGCCATGGATGAGAAAACCGAGCTTCAACTGAAGGCGCTGAAGGAAAAAGTTGCAAGGATAGAGTTCATGCTATTTGTTACCTGGGTTTTTTTAGTTTGTGTGTTTTTGTTGAAGTAATAGAAAGATGTTAGGGCTTTTGTGAGTTCATGAGTTCATGCTATTTGTTG